GGGACTCCACTCAGGAAAGAAGGGGGGGGGGGGGGGGGGCATAGAGGGGAGTAGCGTCTCCTAGCCTTCCCCACTGGAGAGGGGGAGCCCCTGGATCGGAGTGGTCAACCGATGGTTGAGGTGGCCTCTTTAAACGAAATTTTAGCGCCGATCTTGTTGCATAAATATGGGCTAGGGACAGGCACCACCTCGGAAATATAAATATTGCGCTGTAAAACACAGGAGAACTAATTTTAAACATAATTAAACGATTTCAAATTCTCATCTGGTGGATGGGGGGAAGTTCTCGTGACATCACTTGTGCCAAAATAGCAGCGCCGTTCTGCGGCAATACGGCGTGCCGGCAGAATTCGCCTAGGCCTGAACGCGTTTGCAAAGCCTTGGCGGAGAAAGTCAAAGCGTAGTTGGCCACAGTGAGCTCGTTCTCGTTGCGGCTCTTTGCACGACACGGCCCGAGCATGCTTCTGGCACGGCCGGTATTAGTTGCTGCGAGTCGCGAGCTGCAAGCCGACGTTAAAAAGGATATGTTTGAACTACGAGGGTGTCAGCAAGAGCCACGCAAATGCCAAATACCTGTTCACACTCGGAGCGGACACGCGCGTTTGATCGAAGTGCTGGATTCGCTCTGTTAGACCGCGTTTCGGTAAGCGCTTCTGGACCGATCTTTTACGATTGCAACTCGATACTGACATGACACTCGGCAAAGAAAGGTTAGACCGACATCGCGTAGCTCCCACGAACTGCTATAGCTCGACACTGACGTAGCGTCGAGTCAGAATAAAAATGGCATACTAATAACAGAGTGTACATACCGAGTTGCCAAGGTAATCCGTGTGGCGTTTATTTGAGCTCTATATCACACAAAACAAGGAGATAGAATCAATAAGAGTCCCTTTTCGACGACAGCGTTCGTCACCGCTGTCTCGGAAAACAAGGAGATCGAGATGGCAAGGGGAAAATATTGACCTCTGAAATTTAGTTCAGGGATCAAACTACTCATCCGGTAAAAGTCCACAAGGGTCGCGCGGGCATATTCCATTCAGCAGGCCAGCCGGTCATGGACAGACGGTCTTGGCCAAGGACCGCCGGAGCAACGGTGCGCCGAGTCGATGTTGCTGCTAGGCCTACTATATTCTGCCGAGCTCGCTCGGTCGGCAGAATCGTGGCTGTTGTAGCTCTTCTCGTGTGTTTGTGGATCCTGCGTTCTTGATCGTCGTGGTCTGTTTTAAGTACTCCTTCCTTCTTTCTTGCTGGTTGAAGTCGGGACGCACGAGAAGAGCACGAAGAAAAATAAATGTCCGTTGGTGGCCGATACCAAGTAACTGAGCGACGCTGTCGGCCTTGTTGATTTGATCGTAAAAAGTGCGTAAGACAGCTTCGGAGCTGTCGTAGGATTCTGTCGTAACCTGCGCAAAGGTTACGACAATTTCGTTTCGAGAGCACGGGTTTTCTCTCAAATTTTGTCGTACGCAGTTTTTTCGTCGTGAATTCGCTTTGAGAATCCGGCCTCAGAGCTGGTTTTGTCAGTGCTGCCGTGGTTGCCGACTTGCCGTGGTCCCGTGGTGCAGCGTGCGTGCAGCCCTTGCACATCTCAAACGGCCACGTTGTCACAGGTCGTATATCGTCGACGCGCCACCAAGTGGCAACGCTCGTAACCACAACATTCACGCCGTAGCCTTTCCCGACCGGCACAAGTGACGTCACGAATGCGCCCAATATCCCAAGACGCATCGCGCTCTCCGATGGCCGATTTTTGAGCGCGCGCCCAATCGGGCCCATCAGGGTGAAAAATATAGCCATCCGTTCAAAATACAAACGCGCGATTATGATTTATGAATATCATTGATCATATTGAACCTATTTCTGACCATAATAGGTGTATTTCAAGTTTCGCTTCAGTATCCCTTTAAGGGGAAGGCTGGCATAAAGGGTAGCGTCCTCTCGAATCTTCTCAAGCAGGGTGTTAGGGTGCCTCGTCCCACCCTCTGTTTCCTTAAAAGGGCCCTCGCACTGGGGCACCCTTTTCGTGGGCGCCGAGAGATATAAAACTAATCACTGCGCTGAGAGCGCTCGGCGCATGGTTGCCTTGCGGGTCCTTCGAACCCACTGTGATTCACGCTCATGACCCAGTAGCGGGGTCGGACAGGGGTCGAGAACTGAAGGGCTCTTCCCCGCTGGTTTTTCCCAGGTTGTTCCTTTGGCCAGTCCCGCTTTTTTTCCCCCTTCACAATTGGCTTTTTGGTGAAATTCGCACTTGATCCTAGGATCCAATTAATTTAATTCGAATTGGCTTTAAATCGGCTGTGCCTTCGAGGCGGTACCGATTGAGGCATTTTTATTTTTCAATCTTTCTGTAAGGCCTCACCTTAAATAATGCCAGTCAGAGTACGTCGACGCCTTTGGATAAGGGCATACGGTCATCCATATCACTCGTGGAGAGAACCACATTCATGCCACTCGTGAAAGAAACCGCGTCAATATTACTCATGGAGGGAACCGCATCCATCGTTTTAAATCACCGCTATTACGCACCGCTATTACGGAAACCCAGAGCTAAGAACAACCGGCGACGGCAGAGCAACAACCGAGCACGCCCGCATTCCAGCGCGCCGCGGCGTGTCCTCCTCCCCGACCCTTTGCCAGCAATGAGCGTGACTTTGACGAAAGCAAAAGTGCTCGTTTTGACGAAAACCCGGCGGTGTCTGCCAGTTTGTCAGCGCTGTGGAGAGAGGGAGAGGTTGACACGTGCTGAGTTCAGCGCTTCGGATTAGTGGGAGCGTCGCACGCGTCACCCTCCCTCCCTTCTCCCTCTCCCTGGCGCTGACATACGAAAGACACCGCCGGGTTTTCGTCATAACAAGCGTTCTAATGCTAAAGCTTAAAAACAAACAAAAAACAACGGGGCTATGTGAACTAGCTTTTAGGGCCACTAAATAGGCGATATACGCTTCAGGGTAGCGACACTTCAGCCATCTTCTGGCTCAAAATCAATGTTGCCAGTTATCTGAACCTTTATCTGAAATCGGAGGAAGCGCTTATCTGTCCTCCAGAAAAGTTGAAACAGCAAAAAGCGGTATCGCCTGAATGTCTTGACACCACATCTAACGCTCCGGAAGTCATCCCGTTGCGCACTAAACACCAAAATGGCGGCATCCTCAAGATTATGAGGGAATGGAGCACCGCTGCCTTAAAGGGGCCCTGCAATGACTTTTTGACTGGTTTTAATTGGCACCGAACATGAACGCGCTGAACGTAGTAACTTAATCAAACTTTTCTTTTCTCAAATTTCGCTTTATTTTAAAAGTTATAGGCGAATTAGAATTACAAAAACAAGCAAAAAATAACCTCCTTGGTGACGTTGTAGGTCCTGGCTTGAGTGGCCGTGAACTAGAGGAGAGGTAGTGAGCTCATCGAGCGTTCACGGTTTCCGCACTCCGGGTCAACGGCTCGAGAGGGCGCCACTAAAGCATATGTTGGATAGGCTCTATGAAGCGGGCGGCCGGGGCGGCTCGCATTGCATTTGCTGCGCGATTAAAGACTATTTCGGCATAACACTTCATGGGCCACAAACGACAGCAAACACGGGGTAAAGATCAGTTCATAACGGGAGCCACTTCGCGCTGCCATGCCGCCAAATGGCCAAATCGTCAGCAGGGCCCGCGCCGAAGGCCTTCGGAACGCTCGGAACCGGTCGGATCGTTGAGCCGGTATACGACCGCAGCGCCGCCGCGTACATCCGGGGCTTTTCTACGCTGGCCGTTCGTCGTAGCCTCATCCCACTAATTCTTTCTAGTATGCGCCGTTTTTTCCGCCACTTGGTGGCGGGTATGTCGACGGGTCTTTTCTTGTTTCCGCACTTTATAAACTGCATTTGTTTCTTTTCTGATCTAAAATACCGAACAAAAACTTCGTTTATAAATAATTGAAACGGTTCGCGCCACTTATATTTTGTATTTCGACTACGAAAAAGCTTTTAGCGGCTCTGACCAGTAGTAAGCCTAGGACCAAACACGTCACATTTTGCGCGCTTTCGGTACCGCGGGTCGCCCTCGTCGGTGGAGGTGGTTTCCGCGCCGTCCGGTTAAAATATGACGCACTGATATTTAGTTACTCTCTCCGTGCCCGCTGGCTTGCCCGGACTGCTATCGACTGAGTGTATTGTGATCTCTTACGACGAGAGGACACACTGGCGCCATCTATCGGGTACTCTGGAACACTTGCAATTTTCATATCCTTGTTCATATATAACACACCAAAACTACACTTGAACATTGTTCACTAACGTCGAACCGACGATACTGACTTTAACGAGCGGCTTGATAGCTGTGTGATATAACTTACTAAGTAGATAATGTACGTATAAAAAAAAAAAAACAGGTTTTGCAGCAGGGCCAACAAAACGTCGTGTTTTTTCCTGTAGTCTTTAATACATGTATTAGCTATTTTTATAAGTGGTATCACTCGACTATCAAGCCGTTCGTGAAAGTTGGGATTGTCGGTTCGATGTTAGTGGACTGAATGTTAAATTGTGGTTTTTGGAACACCACAATTTCTGAGAGCTTACTTTTTTTTTGCGCATCATTCGTCCTTTATTGGCTTGAAATACTTTTAACAATGTTACGAACGACCGTTTCTCGTAAATAGTACGTATGTTTGATTTAGCAAATACCGCAAAACCTTCGCTCTGGTGAAATGCAGTTCCAGGCTCACCTTATGGATAGCGCTGCAGCGTGTTCTTTTGTCGCGTGAGATCACAACTCCGTCATAAGCAAAGGCAAGTGTATGAACCAGTAGCGTTTAGCGACTACTCCGAGCTATATACCTATTAATACACGAATAAAACGCAATTCCTTATTTAATAGAACGTCCACGTGTAAAAACACATTCTGGGTTTTTTTCTTTTTTTTTTTTTTGTATTGTATATTTATGTTGGCTGCTTATGGCGTCATCTCGAAACAGAAGAGTTCTCTGGGCCCTGGCGTTCATCACGTGGGTTCGCCTCAGGCACGGAGGAAACGGTAGACGACGCTGATGGTTGTGCCTTCGACGATGTTGGCGAACGGTCGTCGTCCGCGGTACTCGAACTCGGCGGGACTGGTTACGTCGAAGACGTGGAAGTCGAGCCACCGCTGAGTAATCACCTGCAATGCCGAAGACATCGAATATCGAGCGGCATCTCTGCACCGCTTAGGAATATTCACGTTCCTTGTGTAAAGTCAAAGGCTTTAATTGCAACGTTTACGAAAAGACAAAAAAAAAAAAACTTTTTTTAATACTTTTTAAAGTCATTTGTAAATGCATGCGACGATCTCACCACCTCAAACATCTAATACCTCGATTCACTGCTCTGGTCGTACGTGTTCTTACTGCGAAATAAACTTCCGTGCTTACAATGTCATGCCATGCGGAGCTCTCCGCGGAAGAATAACAAGAATAATTTCTGCAGCCGCTCACAGTGTCCCATATCCCAGTGTCGGCGACGCGCGACGGAACGCACTTTCGTTTTCTCAGACCGCTCAGCAGGTCGTCGCGGTCCGTGGTCTGCTCCTCGTGGTCGCCAATCTCGCCTTCGTTTCCCTCACGTACGCGGAGCGCAAGTTTGTCTGCTTCTTTAGCAGGGGTGGTGGTGACGTGAGAACGCCGAGCTGTGATTGGCTCTGGTCGGAGGATAGTGGGTCGGCCTCAAGGCAGCTCGCTTTGACCCATCATCCTTCAATCATCACCAATCAGAGCTCGGCGCTCTGACGTCACCACAACCCGTCCGAAAAAAGCAGGCGAACTTGCGCTCCGCATAGTGTGGGCACTGCGCATGCGCCGTGTCGACAACAGCGCCACCGCTGCGGCCTAACGCCAGGGCCATGTGTCGGTCTATAGCAGTTTTTACCTCTTCGACTCTAAAGCGTCCCATAAGCTGCTGATTGATGGCAACGTGCTTTGGACTGCGTTCCCGGTGACTGGAGTTAATGTAGTGTTGTAAGGACCCGCCGTCAGGATGCGCCGATAAGCGACATGGCGGCCTCACACTCACATCGGTGACTACGTGCGAGTTAAGACTGCAGATTCCGGCGAAGCCTCGGTCCCTCGCATCGTGCAGCATGTTGGCCACGAGCACCTGCACAAGGGCCGCGTTGTCGGCGGGACTCGTCTCCATGGACGTTCCCACCATGAAGCAGAGCAGCATCCTGTGGCCCCCCGTTCGCATGGCCTCCCGCAGGGTGCCCTCGAGCTGCTGGTGCATCTCCATGATGGCCCTGTAGCCTTCTGCCAAGTCATCCGACGCCTGCAGCGGTTGCACGTGGATCGGTTTTTATCGCGATCGTCTATGCACCAACGAACGTTATTATAGATCAAGTCGTTTGTGGAGCTCCCGGGGGGAGGGGGGGGGGGGGGTTCTTTTCTTTCCCCCTTAAGTCCGCCACCCCTCCTTTGAAACGTCCTCTAGATTCTAAAGGCTTCATTTATAACAATTAGTTTATTTCCCTCAATTATGACAGGGGGCCCAAAAGGGAAAAAACGCTGGACTAAACAGCCTGACTGGTCCTTGGTCACTGGTCAACAGCAAGCACGCCGAAAATGTACAAAAGACAACCTATACGGTAGAATCATCGCACATCTATGGTTGATGTGCATACCAGCAATAGGTTCACCTAAATACAAAACGTGAAACTAAAAAAAAAAATCACATACAAAAAAATAAGCGCATACTTTTGAAGTTAAGCTGTCAAAATCAATATTATGAATTCAAAACTATTTAAAAAATATCAGAGTGGAATTTACCATTTGATAGCCATAATTTGTTTGTTGCGCGGCAATCCTCCATTTCTTTGCAATACGTGTAGGGTACGATAAGGAAGGAGTCTTCCTAGAAAACCCAAGCCCCTTATTCATTCGCTCTTAAAACTAGCACAGAGACTCTGCAGGTACAACTTGTAGATATTAATTATCTTGCAGCTCTGAAATAACTTGGCAGAATGGCAGTCATATGGCACATTACATAATCCTCAATATTTTATTCTGCAGCATACTCACTTTTTCTTTTCAATATTAGTCGTTGTTGATGTGCCCCAAACCAGATGACAATACATTAAAACTGCATTCTTCTGAGACACTACGGTGAAGCGTCATCTAGACGGCGTGCTTCGAAACCTGCGTAATTGTAGTCACCGTAGCAGCTGTCCCCCCAAAAAACGGTGGCGGTCAGTTCCGTAACTGAGTTGATCTAATAGCAATGAGTGCAACTGGGCTTTCTGACATCACACCACAGAGGTGGCGCTGCTGTCGAAACTGCGCATGCGCAAAGCTTCCCCTCACTCAAATAAGTTTTCTGCCCACGTGCTGTGTTCCAATCTGGTGTTGGCAAACGTCGGTTTGTTTGTAAACCGCGCGTTAGTGTTTAGTTATAGAATATAGACTATTCTAGTACTCGCCTTCTGCGCGCTGCTATCTTTGTCTACTGGGCTGTGTAACGCGTTCTGAGCATGCGCACTATCTGTCTTGTGCGGAATAGCAGACGCTGCAGTTGCACCAGCCCAGTGACTCAGTATTTTTCGTCTGGGTGACAAGCGACGGTATACAGGAGCTCCTTGAAAGACACGGAGCCACAGCGAAGATACGTCCCAAAGTTAGTGCTATGCGTGAAGCAAGTTCGTCTGCTTTTTTGCGGAGGGGGTTGTGGTGACGTCAGAACGCCGAGCTCTGATTGGCTCGATTAAAAAATGTGGGGGGTGGACCTGAGGGTAGCTAGCATTGAGGTCTACCCGCTATACTTCCAATCAGAGCCAATCAGAACGCGGCGTTCTGACGTCACCACAACCCCCTCCGCAAGAAGCAGACGAACTTTCGCTTTGCATGGAACCCGCCAATTCGCCTTTTGCGTTGCGCTGTGGCGACATCCCACGGGGGCGACGAGAAACAATATAGTTGGCCTCGAAGTGCAGACGGCGCACGCGCAGTCGGACCTTGCGAAAGGCGATCGCCTTTTGCGTTGCGCTGTGGCGCCATCTGACGGGCGCGACGAGAAACAATATGGCTGGCCTCCAAGTGCAGACGGCGCACGCGCTGTCCGATCTTGCAAAAGGCGAATTCGTTATGCTCTACGGGAAAAGGCAAAGTGAAAGAAAAACGTGTTCGTTCTTGTTTAGGGAAAGAACCATACGCGCGAGCTTTTTTACTTTTGAAATACTATATCTTCCGCGGGAACATCTGCGCAGCGGAAGCATGCACCAGCCAGGTCTGCCAACTTTCACTGGTGGCCTTTGCCCAGACTAAAGCGAGGCAGAGAACAGTTGGATTTTGAGACAGTGCTCCTAAATCTATTGCGGCGTCGGTCTGTCGTCCTCTTGTCACATCAAAGCGGTGCCAACTTGACCGCTTTCTTCAGTTGGACAAAATTTTTGAGAGCCGTCCAGAGATGTCTCAAACCTGTAGTACTTGAAAGCATGCTTCTTTATCTTGATACGAGCCACACTCCAAAGCCAGACATGAAGCGACTTTATGGCGAACAGAATTTCAGAAACAATATGTATTCGTGGACCCTAACCCTGACCACCGGACTCTAAACAGTAGATGCGAAATCGGCAAACAAATTTTTGAAGCAGCCTCCCAATACGTAAGGAAACATTTCTTAACTTCGAGGCCCCCCTGAAGTTCTTGACACGGGAGGTAGATCGCTCCCTGTAGACGATTTCTGCTCATGTCTTTTCGTCAGTAGTTTGTTTGACTAAAAGCGCATGGAGAGGCGGTTGACCCCCGGTAGCAAAAAGATAAGCCCTGTGCGGAGGAGAAATCAAACTTCCCGTCTGTTCCGCCGATTTAAGGAAGCGACTTTTCTGCTGTCTGGACAAGTATCACTCCAATCAGCAGCAAAAAATGAGCGAACCACCTCCTCTGTTAATCATTCGCCATTAATGTGGTGGATACGAATCAGTTGATTTCGGCCATCCAGTATAAGGCCCTCACTCCAGAAAAGAGTGCTCCGGGCTCGCTCCAACAACAACCATATGAGCTAGGAGCTGCGGAATTAGATTGAGCCCATTACACAGAGTTTCAACTTACGATGGACTGCAGCGAACGCTACAAGCCATCCCAGCCAATACAATGCTCTGAACACATCACGTTACTGCGGGCTTCGCGGCCCGCGGTCTGCGCCCCTTCCGAAGATCACGTGACACTCTCGTGGATTAGCTCCGATGGTTTGTAGCGTCTGTTGTGGTTCATTGTAATGGCTGGTTCGCACACTTTCGACTGCTTATGACCGAGTACGTGACGGCCTTTTGGGATATCTTACGACGAGAGAGCATACTTGCACGCTGGCTTCATCTATGGGCTGGCCCTGGAACTACATTTGACTAGGGCGAAGTTTCTGCAGTATTTGCGATATCAAATGTATACACGTTAAATCTATCCCAAATTATGGCTTATAACAATGACAAGGTTTTCTATTCAACCAAGAAAGAATGGTGAGCAAAAAAAAAAAAGGAGGAAATATACGGATGTTGCAAATGCTTCACGGCTGCCGATAGATGCCGCCAGTCATAAGAAATCACAAAAGGTTTTCACGCACTCGGTCGTAAACAGTCGCAAACGAAGTACAATGATCGTCCACGCACCGTCATTTCAGAGCAGAGGTCCAAGCCGAGTGCCACCGCTGCCACGTGACCACTCTCGTCGAGAATGACTCTGGATGTTCCCTGTTCAACTATTAGAGGCCAGATGTGCTTGAGGGCGCGCATGTGCTGGTCCTCTGTGTTGCCGACGGCTAGGTCCAGTCGGTTCTTGGCCACGAAGCACTTGGCGAGAACCGAGGCCACGCTCTCAAACGACGTGGTCGCGTCCACGAGGGGGCAGCGCATCTGACGCGGTCCTTGCAAGACCAGGCTGCAAGCTGCACGCTCGACGACTTGGGACAGCGGCTTGGACAGCAGGTCGTCCGCGGACACCTGCAATCCAAATGAAAGGGCTCAGGAGCTAGTCCTGTACGCGCTATGAGAAACTTGGAGAAGAATGCTGAAAGCCTCAAGGTAGTGGCTGGAAGCCTCAAGGTAGTGGCTGGAAGCCTCAAGGTAGTGGCTGGAAGCCTCAAGTATAGTGGCCGATCAACATTTCGCTAAATTACGTACTGTTTCTCCGCAGCTCTGGAAGGTAGAGTTTCTTCGCGAAGCATCGGCTGACGCTCTGAGCCTTCCATCTTTTTTCGTGGTCTTCCTACGGTTACGGTTTCAATTAAAATGAGGCCATGTTTGCACTATGAAAAGTGCGTTCTTGGACCGCTTGTCTTTCCAACCTCGGAAATATTCAAAGGGGCGGACGCGATGCGGTGTCTAGAACAGCTCTTGATATCTGTTTTACACACGACTATAGCAAATACGACTCTGCAATTGAACTATTGAACTATTGAAGTTGGCGGATACGATCGTCCGGACATGTGTTGCATAAAATATTACAACATTGGCGACGTTCTGCTTGACGCCTTGACGCATTATGACGACCCAATGTACGGCGCGTCAAAGACTACCCAGGGGTAGAATGCAAAGTTGACGTTGGTTGAGAATTTTGTAATTTCAGAACGGCAAAGAAGGCAGAAGGAAAGCAAAACAAAGTACCTGATGACCTTGTTTCGTGTTCGTTTAATTTTTCGTGTTTTCTAAACTCGCAGTGGTCTGAAGGAACGGATAGTATCGGTTCCAGGATATCCAAAGTGTCCGAATCGGCCCGAGCGTGCATTGGAACAGACCCACAATCCCCTTCGCCGCGTAGTAGATTATGGGGTTTCCCGAGGTCTATTGTGCATCATCAACTTGAAGAATCCAAGATGGCGTGCACGTCCTTTGCAGTAAAGCGCTGGATAACGAACCGTACAGAAGCGTATTCCCCACTGTCTGCTCTAAACTTTCGTGAACTTTCGATCAAGCAGGTATGCTGTAGCCTTTCTTCACATCCATCAGTGCGGCAGATTCAGCGCTTGACTTACCTTTTAAAAAAAGGTCAACTGATTCCTCATTCGAATAACCTCATAGCGGGCTCGCTCAGCTTTCGCCACACTGCCAGTACAATGCTACCGTATTTATTCAAAAATAGGTCGACATTTTTAATGGACAGGCCTGCGTGTTTACTTTGCTAAGGAACCCACGGAGACCAATCATTAAAGGGGCCCTGCAACAACTTTTTGAGAACTTTGATGGCGGCACCCGGTCTAAGGACGCCGCCATCTTGCTCAGTTGGGGTGCGCTTGGGCGGCCATAATCCGATACGACGCCTTAGCAAGGTTTCGTAATCGGATTATGACGCGTCCAAGCGCACCCCAAACGAGCAAGATGCCGGCGCCCTGAAGCCGGACTTGCAAACGCGTATATACGGCGTGCAGATTCGCATGCTGCTCGCGCACCTTATGCGTTTGTTTACGCCCCCCCCCCCCCCCCCCCTCTCCCCCTCAAATGCTCCCATGTGCTTTTGTTTACGCCCGACATCAACCAATGACGGTGCGAGCTTGGCTACCTAGTTATCGCGCGTTACCTACCGGCTCTCTCTGTTTCCATTCGATCGCCGTGCCTTTGTTTACGTTCCGATGCGCCAGAGACGCATTTTGGATCACTTGCTCGCCGTGTAGTCAGTGACAGCTATTGACCAACACACTGTTTACAAACAAGCCGCGTTTGCCCACACCGTGTGTGGGCACTGCGCGCGCGAAGAAACCATATTCACCCGAGGCGAAGCATCTGCGCATGCGCAGTAGTGACAGCAGCGCCACCGCAGCGGCGTGGCGTTAGAAAGTGGAGTTAATTGGTCTCGAGGAAACGGAGGGTGTGGCATATTGGGTTCGTGCTTCTTGCCTTGTGATTGGTTCTTCGGCGATCTGACTGGCAAATAACGCATTCTGACTGGTTGCAGAGCGTCAATAAGATGGATGGGGGTTCGGGGGGTGCGCCACGCCCTTTAGGCTGTCAGCGACTCCAGTATGATGACCCAAGCGTATACTCCAACGAGGTAGAGGGGCTTAGAGTGATAAACCGGAAGTTCGGAAGTGGCACCCCCCCGGTTGCCGCCATATTTTACGCAAATGTGACCACTCGTCACGTGACCTCCCAAGAGCGGTGACGTCACAGGTAAGATGGCAGCGCCCAGAGCTGGCGGATGCGAGTTTGTTCGGTGCGCGGTAGCCGTGATGTGCAGCTGCTTTCCGACGACTTCAGGCTTCTTCGTGCTCGCTGACGCAGGTATAATGTGAAAATATGAAGGAATGAGACTTTATACCGTTTTTGCGCAAGATCACTCTGGATCATTTGGATATTAACGCCTGTGAGACAGCATCAGCTCTGCATCGCCGTACCGGTGCTCGGATTCCGGGATGTGTCCGAGGACCGATAGAACTTTGAGTGCTTTTAACATGAAATTTTCGAATTCTCTTAGCTTTGTTTCAACGTTGAAATATCTGAGAATCTACGCGAAATGTATACGTCGCGTTAGGGCCTAAGGGAAGTTGTTTCAGCCCTCCGTCACCGAACAACCATAGCAACTTTTAGCGAGGAAGCTCCTGCGATTCTTTTGTGCTAATCCACGATTCTACATTCGATCGCTTTTCTTCCTTTTTTTTTTTGTGTGTGTGTGAGTGCGAAGTGCACCCTTATTTTCAGCTACGAGCATACTTGGGTAGTAATTCAATTACAGTAATTAAATTACTGTAATTTAATTACTTTTCCTAGTAATTTGTAATTGTAATAATTACTTTTGGCTGAAAGGAATTGTAATTTAATTACTTTCTAGCATCAGTAATTGCTAAATTTCAGGCACAATTACAATTACTTTTGCAAGATTTTGCGGCGGTGGCGCTTTTCCCCCCTGGCCACGGCGACGAGAGCACAACCGAAGCAATAAAAGAGAGAGTCTCCCAACCTGCTCAAAAAAAGGGAAAAGGGAGGCTGGGATAGAACGGAATGAAGGATTTTGTAGACTGCAAAACGATTTAATGAAGAATTTCAGAAATAATTTGATAAATGAGGGCTTCATTCGCGTCCGTTTTCGTTCCTGTCGTAGTTGAATCTGACTCTTCGTCTCGTTCGCTTCCTGTTGCTCCTGTTTCTAGGGGTCTTTCTTATTTCTCATTCCCACACGGGGGTATGGGGGTCGAAGTCGAGCTGGTTGGCTCCGATCACATCATCCGGTCGAGGCGGGGAGGTTCGAAGTTTTCCTTACGCGTCTTCGCCGCTAGCATATTCGCTTACATATTTCAGTCAAGTTTGGGGACTTTTTTTGTTCATGTAATTATTCTCTTTTCTTTATGAGTTTTCACGTCTTTCTCCTCTATCTCGTATGTTGGTACCACTAACAGAGGGTCGTGCTACTCTAATATCGAGGCGAAGAAGCGCAGTTTAGCAACAACAGTTGGAAGTAAGGCAGGGCGAGTCGTGTTAATTAGACCTGCTGTTTCTTTGCTTCTTCGCCTGACATGACGATCCTAAATTTATTATATATCTCAGGAGCTTTTTTTTTTTTTTTGGTGTTACCGTGCACTGAATAACCCAGAATCCCTGGCAAGAGAGTTGCTGCTATTGTGACACTAGTTTTGTGGAAGCGACCGCAGTTCGCGTGCTACGGTTACCCACATCCGACATGTTACAAGTCCACAGACAGGGAGAGGCAGCGAATCATCGAGTTTTATGATACCAGTACTGTCGCATATTTGTTTCCTTGTATTATTTTTAAGTTTATTTTTTGTTGGTTTGACTTGGATACCATTTGCACAAGCTCTAAAGAGATTCACCTCGCACCTGTGAATTTTGTCGCCATTTATTTTTATTTTTTGAGAATATAAGAAATCAGAAGTTCATTACTCCAAACTATTAAGTTCTATAATCCATTTAACAAATTTCATAAAAGAAAAGTACAATGCGTGACATTTATACAGCGGCCATATAACTCGTTTACAGTTATATGGCCCAAGGTGGGTAACTCTCAGAAATAAGTAATTGTAAAGTAATTGCATTACTTTTAAAAAGTAATTTGTAATTGCAATGAACTACTTTCGCGTAGTAGTAATTGTAATTGTAGTTAAACTACTTTGGGGGCTAAGTAATTGTAATTGTAATTAAATTACATTTTGAAAGTAATTTACCCATGTATGGCTACGAGGATGGCGTTTTATTGAGTATGGGGAAGAATAAATCGTTGCAGGCACCTGCTTCAAAGCTATTCGACTTGCTATAAAAACAACTGTTTTGGTGCATGCATAGATTAACAGCGCATTTTTTTCTGTTTTGTAGGATTTATTGCAGCTATACTCTTTTCCATCAAGAGTGCATTGTATTAGTCGGTCAATTATTTAATTGTTCTAATTACCTGGATAAGATGATTCATATTTGTGTTCATCCCTTGCCTGGAGAGCAGTCTTGTTGAAAAATGTTGACTACCATTCCTTTCGGTCTCTTCAATAGACTCTTTTTAAAAGTGTGGGCTGTCTATACTTCGCATTACCGTAATTTGGAAAAGGCCAACCGCCACAGCCCCCTCGAGCCAATCAGAGAGACGGAGCGAAGGTGTGTGACAAATCTGTGCAGACGAGCACTCTGGTGATATGTTGTCATGTGCCTCTCTCCAATGTGTGTATTGACTCACCGAGACCGTAGCCTTTGCCGTCTGCCAAATTCTGATGAAACAAATTACAGTAGCTACTACTGTAATTACCCCAGGCTTTCAGACTTTGGGCATTTGTTCGACAAGAATGTTATGTCCGCCATCCCTGTGAATTCGGCTCAGCACCTATTGGACTCAAATGCTGCATTAGCGTTCGACGTGAACTGGGGCCCATTCGTGTGCTTTACGCCGAAAAAAAATGGTGACAGTTGTGTTGCTTGATAAGGTTCTGCAAAGGGTCTATTTTGTCATACATATAGGAAGTGTCATGCTATATAACAATGCATCAACACATATTATTAAACTATATGCT